GCCGGCGGCGGTAGTAGCGGTCGACAGTCGGGCGAGCCAACAGGCATATCGCCACACTCGGTAGGCTACTTCCACGGCAAAATCACTCGTGATCAGGCTGAAGCTGCATTATTTGCACACAAGGCGCTTGAAGGTCTCTTTCTACTCCGTGAAAGTGTTCACCAAAACTACGCAATCTCCATATGTCACGGTGGACGTGTGCATCATTACAACATTGAGAAACAGCCTGATGGATCTTACCAAATTCGTACTGGTATGTGGCATTGCTATTGAAAACTCGCCCTTAAATCAACCCAGTAATTTGACATGATTTTAATCCATCACAGCGTCTTTACCTCTGTTGGCTAGGATTGTCAAGTTTCCGATTCTACCGTCCTCTACTTTCACACAGACACGCTAGTCTATGCACGCATTGAAAGTCGACAGACGCCAGCATCTCTTATACAGCCCCTTGGGGTATTCCTGAGGCGAAATTGTGTTTAGATTGGGTACAGTCGTCTCATCTACTCTGACACAGGGGATTAGTAAGTCCTCTCACTGCGTAAATATTTGCCTTTTTGTGATGTTCTGATCGGTATCTCGATATGCCACTGCTGGTGGTTACTCATTACAGTGGGTAAGTTGCGGTGGGCTGTGCTAATTTGAAGCTTCTTACTTGCTCTCCTCCCTGGCATCCATCCATCAGCCGTTTGGTTTAAGGCTCAAAGACCTAACGGAGGTTAGGGGAACGACTTTTGGAGTGGCTTTATCTTGAAATAGGGATAAGACGGAAAGTCCTTTTGGCTATTTTGGGGCGTAAATTCTGACTACTGTCAACAATTCAATCAATGCCTTAACTTTCATTTTGTACCATTGCGCAATTCGACCTTGAAAGTTGGCTCCAACGCCTGTTTAATGTTGGGAGAACTTTTAGGCCTTGGTAATAGTACATCATGGGAAGCTTTTTTTTACCGCCCATAATTAAAATCCACCCCAATTGGTGTGACCCTGAGGCCTTTGGGTCAACGAGTTTTGCATAAAAACACTGTCCACTGACCTGAAGGGCAAAGAAAAACTGAGAGCAATATACGGGGTTGGTAGAACACAAATTTTGGCCACCAATCTCCTCCAAGTAACACCATTTTGACTGGCAGGCTGGCGTAGGATTAAAAGGAAGTGGATTAAGATGGAGAGGAAAAAGAATTGTACTTATTGTTGCAACCTTAAAGCATGCAATGATTGCTTGCGTTTCCTTTGAAACCGACTCTGTGGTCATTTTTAACCGATTTAGAAATTTAAATGACTACAGCGGAGGTCCATTCGCGTTCCGGCGGTCATCGTTTGCGTGGTCACTGGCTTTCCACTTGGCTCGGATCTTTCAA